AGAGTATGAAATGTTATAGACTAAGTGAACAAGTATCATAATATACCAAAAGTAATCACGTAAGGAAATCAAAAAAAATTAGATAAGAATGCTAACCCGCTACTGAATCTAAAAATACAAAATTGATCAAACATCAACCTAACCAATCCCCCATAAGCTCGGCAGGTACAAACAACATACCTCCTACATAGGCCCACATAAGCCAAAAAGGTGCCAAATCAATCTACATACCCCAATCGGTAGCCCCTTGTCTTTGTAAGAAGTCACATAGCCCTTTTTGGCAACGATATAGCCCAGTAGGCAGCACATAGCCCTCTTAGGTAACATCATAGCTATGTGGGCTGCACATAGCCCTCTTTTGCATCAACATAGACCTGTAGGCAACACATAGCCCTCTTTATCGTCAAAAAAGCCCCGTAGAAAACACATAACACTCTTTGGCATCAATATAGCCCCGTGGGCAACACATAACCCTCTTTGGAAATAACATAGTTCTATTAGACAACATCATAGCCCCCATAGGCAGTTCATAGCTCAACAACTAACAACAATAGCCCCAAGGGCGACGACAAACAATTGAATAGGCTAAAGGCGAGCAATTTAGCTATAAACAATATATATGAATACTCTCCGAGTCGTTCCTAACTTAGGGTCGTTCTTACCTGATTATAAGTCCCTAAAATGAGGGTTTATAACCACTCACAATTACATCGACAAGATCACCAACGTTAACTACCTCTAAGGAAACATGTCGAACGAATGGAATAACCTTAACATACCTTCCCAATGAACACTCGAAAGACCATAGTTTCTTCACGAAAGTTGTTTCTTATGTCCTAAGCTTCACAAACACTATATATACACAACTGGTACGCACCTATAAATAGTTCATAATTAATCTTAAATCGGCAGATTTGCCATATTGCCCCCAAACTTGTCAAAACGTCCATAGAAATTCATAAAAACAATCAGAAAAGAGTCCCGAGATGATTACCTTAGTCTAAACCTTGAAGAAACACCAATAACTACAAATTTATATCTTCAAAAATCAGCTCCAAATGCAGCTAATATAAGGGGAAAATGATTGTCACGTGTAGAGATCACGTTTCTAGGCACGGGGGCAACGTTTAATGGTAGAAATCGTCAAAAACTAACCTTCATCATGCAAGAACTCCATAGGAACCCTCTCTTAAGCTTTATCTCTAGTTTGGAAGTGAAATGAAATGTTTTCATGGCTTAAAACGTTGAGTAAGCCGGCATACCACATTTTTTTACCCGACCCGGATTCTGCCCCGACAGTCCGTAGTAAAACCCTCATAATTTTTGACTCCGATGTCGGTTGGATACGGCGTTTTGTGCGCTGCAAACTAGACTCGTAGGCCTTTGATTTAATGGGTGATAGGCCTTCTAACACTTTATATATTGTGAGAAAACATCCAAGACATTTGACCCAAATTTCAGAGAGATCTTTAAAAAGGAATTTATGATAACTTTTGCCAACTTTTATTTTGCCACTTACCTAACTTCAAAACTTGAGATACAACCCTTGAACACTTAAAATATGACATACCACATCATTCTTAATTTATTACCCACCCTCCTTGTCTTTCCACGAAGATATGAGTTAATTTAGATGTTTTGAAAAGTCGGGGTGTTACACCTTTCTACAGTTTGGACCTACAGTATGTATGTCCTTCTACGAACCGTACTGGTCAACCATAGAAAGATTCAGAAACTATATATTGAACCAACTTTTTGACGGACCCTGTCTACGGCTCGTAGGTCTTCCAACGGACCCTAGACACCAATCGTAGAAACCAACTTGACCCCTTAAATTTTCACTAAGTCTGGGACCTACCTACGAGAACGACTTGTACATCAAATGACAGGTCGTCCTGGTGAATTGTAAAAGAGGTACTGGACTTGATTGTTTTGAAAAATTATTTTCCCTCTTCCTACAGTTGGCATCTACAGCCCGTAGAAACTTCTACGGTCCGTAGATGGGACCCGTAGAACTAAACGATAATCCAAAAATCCTTTTTCAAAATTTGAGGTGTTACAATTACACCAACAATTTATGTAATTTGACTCTCGATAAATAAGAAGTGACAATTATTAAGAGATAGAGGGTATACAAACTTTTATAGAATATTATACAACCTTATACAAAAATTACAAATTTGTCTCCTACAAATTTCAACCCACAAAACTTCATTCAAATGGATCAAAAACATTACTAAATAGCTCAAATCTTCATAGAATAACTTCACATTTTAACCACAACTTCATAAATGACATTATCAACGAACTTCTCCTTAAATTGTCAAAAATTTAAATAAATCACAAAGCTCACCTCTGAGTTTTCAAGCCTTTTAAAACAATTCAATCTTTTGTTTTAATTCAATCAATGATGTTTTAAACCTATGATGATAAACATTTAATATTACACTTTCAATCAGTTTCTTAACATAAAAAAAATGAAATCATAATCACAAATTAAGAAATTATTTCACTTTCACTTAGTATTTCATATTAATATAAAATAAACTAAATAGGATAAGATATGAAAGTATGGGATAATTTTGATTATAAAATTTAGGCTCTATAGAAGGTAAAAATCTTTGTATTTTATGAGGGACAACTTTGCTAGGGAATCTTCATACCCAATTATACTTCCTTTGCTCCTATTTATTTGTTAAATATTTCTAATTTGATTTTCTTTTTTATTTGTTATTTTGACAAATTAAGGAAGGATAAACAAAATTCTTCATATTATACTCTCAATTTATTAACATTGATCATGAGTTAATGTCTTTGAAAAATGTAGTGAGTAAATATGTTTCAGATTCTATCAATTAATAGGGGTAAAATAGTAAATTCACTATATCAATCATTGTTTTCTTAACAGGTGTTTCAAATCAAAATTTGACAAGTAAAAGGGGGGGGGAGTAATACATAACAAAAATTGACAATTAATGATGTTTGCTAGTACTTTTTTGTTCGGAATTACTTGTCAAATTTTGACTCGACACACCTATTAAGAAAACAATAATTGGTATAATGAGTTTACTATTTTACCTCTATTACTCCGTCTGTCCAACAGTAGTTGTTCACTATTGACTTGACACACACCTTAAGAAACAACAAATAATAGGGCTAATATTACTACATTACCCTTTGAATATATTAAATTCAATTCTTTGGAAAATGTATTAAGATATTGAATAGTATTTAATAGCAAGGATAAAATAGACACAAAAGAGTAAGTTATTCCTTGATTTTCCAAACTAGACATGTATTGTTGAATAGCTATTTTTAATATAGTTGACAAGTAAAGATGGACAAAGGGAGTAATTAGTAGGGTTTCAAATGTATTTATTCACTACATGGATAGAGTTATTCATGTATTAGTAATGTGAGTATTAGTCATGCATGTATTAGTAATGTGGGTATTAGTCATGCATATATTAGTAATGTGGGTATTAGTTGTGCAAATATTAGTTATGTGGGTATTAGTTATGTAGCTATTATTTATACAAGTATTAACTATGCATTTTTTAGTTATGCGGAGTTTAGTTATGCATAAATTATTCCTTTGGATGTTGGTTTTTTATATTAAAAATTAGTAAAATTATATGTTTTTTTAAATTAAAATATTTTTTTTCAATTATACCCTTTCCTTCTTTAACTTTGTATCTAAATTAAAACATTTCTTTAATTATGTAGAAGAAGAAAGTTGTCAAGTAGGAGTGATAAGGGTAATATTGTCATTTTAACTTTTTATCCATGTATTAGCTATACACGTATTAATTATTCTATCTTCTACTCCGCATAAATAATACACATATTTCCTCATAGCTTATACATGTATTAGTTATGCGAATTTCAAAATTGTCAACCAAATGTCGTATTAATTTTATACATGAGTAAATTTTTTCTTATCCACCTACCAAACGTCGTATTAATTATATACATGAATAAAAAAATTTCTTATCCACCTACCAAACTCGTATATATATATATATATATATATATATATATATCTTTTTTCTTATCCACCTACCAAACGTTGTATAAGTTATATGAACTCTAATGCATGGATAAGACTTGTTTTATACTGCTACTAAATGACCCCCCTAACTCAATGTTAATAGATTGAGGGTATAATAAGAAAAAAATTGTCCTTTCTTGATTTGTCGAAATAACAAGTAAAAGTATAAATCAAATTAGGAAATACTCCCTCTATTCCATATGAACTGAATTTTTGGTGTTTTTTTCATTGTTCAAAGTTCAAGATGAATGTTTGAAATTTTTATCATATTTGCCCTATCCTTTAATGAAGTTTGATATTTTCTAGGAGATAAATTGCATTATTTACAAAAGGGTAATGCTAAATGACCAGAAAATTTATGATTTCACAAAGGACAATAGTGGAAAGTATGGTTTAAATTATGTCATTGAATATTTTTTTCTTGATAAATGTACATTACCTTACAAATTCAGTTAATATGAAATAAAGGGAGTATTTGACAAGTAAATTCGAACGGAGAGAGTATTTGTATTCTTCCTCAAATAAGTGAAAGATAGGCAATCATTCACGAGGATAACATTTTTAATAATGGGTTTTTTTCGTCTCTTTTTGGTCATAGGAATAACATTTTATATGTTAATAATGGACTGTCTTTATTATGTAGTACATACATCAATTTTATAAATTGCAGTGTCAATGATATGATAACACCACATTGAGAAAATGGCTGCATTAAAAGTTCTATCAAGAGCTTCAAAGAAACTCATCAAACCTCTTTCTCCAACCCCTTTAACTCAAAAATTGCACAAATTTTCTCTCATTGAACAAGCTCAAACACACACTTATGTACCCTTTGGTTTTTTCTACTCCAACAATCAATTAGGTGCACTTTGTAATCAACCTGCCCAAATATCAAAACTTCTTGAAAACTCCCTCTCCAAAAATTTAGTCTCCTATTATCCATATGCAGGACACATGAAAGATAACGCGGAGATCGATTGTAATGACAAGGGTGTTGAGTTCTTGAATGTCCATATTGATGCACCAATGTCTCAAGTTCTCAATGACCAAGATTGTAATGTCAAAGATTTAATCTTCCCTCATGGTGTAGCTTGGGAGAACGATTCGGACTATGGTTTGGCTGTGATTCAATTAACACATTTCGATTGTGGAGGAATTGCAGTGAGTACATGTTTGTCACACAAGATTGGAGACGCGTGTAATGGTTTACAATTCTCAATCGATTGGGCAACATTAACGCGCGATTCAAATGCAAAAATAACTCCACCTTATTATATAAGTGACACTATTTTTCCATCACCACCAAGTGGTCCTCTGGATTCCCCTGTTGTTCCATCAATATTAGATGGATGTACACAAAAAAGGTATATTTTTTCCTCATCAAAAGTGAGTGAACTTAGGTCCTCTGTTGCTAGTGAATCACATGTGAAAAATCCTACACCTACTGAAGTCCTTAGTGCACTTCTTTTCAAATGTGTTGCTAAAGCAGTGACCGCGAACTCTGGCTCCTTTGTCCCTTCTAAATTGATCCAATATGCAGATTTACGCGGAATGATTTCACCAAAGTTACCACCTAACTCTATTGGCAATGTTCTGTCTCACTTTTCGACACATATTTCCAATGAGACAGACATGAACTTACCACAAATAGTTAGTCTCATGAGGGAAGAAAAACAACTATTTAGGACTAGAGATAATATCAAAGAAAATGCATGGGCATTGGAGATTCTTCAATTAGCTAAAGGATTGCCACCCAAGAAGAAGGAATTTGATGAGTATACTTGTAGTAGTGTGTGTAAATTTCCATTCTATGACGTCGATTTTGGTTGGGGCAAGCCAATGGCTGCAACCATAGCTACTGGTCCATACAAGAAATTGTTCAATTTGATGAACTATAAAGACGATGGCATCGAAGCATTCGTCATGTTAGATGAACAAGACATGTCTGTATTTGAGCGCGATGAAGAGTTTCTTGAATTTGCTTCTCCATATGCAAATTATTTTTAGAAGTTGAGATTTATGTTGTGGATTATGAGTGTTCATGAATAATAAGTGAATTTATAGTTTTTGTAAGCATTGGGCATGTATTGATATGTTTATGTACTCCTAAATAATACTTCATTCGTTTCAATTTATTTGTCTTATTTTCTTTTTAGTCAATTTTAAAAAGAATGTTATTTTCTCTTTATGATAATTTCTTAATTTTAATTTTTTATGACATGTTTAAAATAACAAGATTAAAAGACATTTTGGTACATTCTACATATTTTTAGTTTCAAGATCGCAAGATTCAAAAGTCATTTTTTCTTAAACTACGTGTCAAGTCAAACTAGACAAATAAATTAAAGGCATAATACATATATTGGACCCTAAACTTGGCTTCAAATTTTAACTTTAACCTTCAACTTTCAAAGTGCACAAACAGACACTTTAACTATCCAACTTTTAAATAAATAAACACACAATTTTTATATACTCGGATTCACCTTATATATATACTCCATTCACAATGTTTATGATCTTATTATATGTAGATATTTTAATTTTTCTTACATTTATATTATTGATAGTTTGAGCCGAAAGAACAATTTTTTGGGATTATCATTACTTTCTTTTTATTTCTTATCTGATGTTTGGTACTCACATTCAAGCTCGATTAATTTAGATTTGCTTTGGGTATGTCTCATTCAAGGGTAGTGCTTCCTACGAAAGACTTTAATATACTCAAGACTCAAACTCAAACTGAGATGTTTGATTAAATAAGGAGCAGTCTCATCCAGTCATCCACTGCACCACATCATGGTCATTACTTTTTTTCATGTCTTCAGGATAAAAAATATATTTTTGTTGTACAATAATACTTGTATCTCTTCTATTTTATCATCCTAAATACTTTCAAAATAGGATTTTTTTTTTTTTAATGATCTTGCAAGTAAACTCGGGTGTAGATTATGAAAAATATATATAGAATAAGACGTAAATCACAAAGAAGTGCATATATTAGGAGTGTCAATTGCAAATTACTATTAATTTTTATGGAATGTACCTTTTCTTTTAGCTTCTTTTTTATCCATCCCTAGAAGTTCTCACCTTTTTTGCTTTCTTAGTGGCTCCAACCAGGGGCGTAGCTATCCTTAGGCAAGGGTGTCCAATTGGACACCCTTTGTCGGAAAATTACGTTGTATTTATAAGAAAAATAATAATTTAAATGGTTAAATAACACTTGTTGGACACCCTTGAAAAACAATTAAGTTTTCTAGCTCAGTGGTTTCAGTCGTTCAGCTCAGGCTAAGTCCTTTGCAACTTGTTGTGCGCGGGTTCGATTCCCGTTATTTGACTTTGATTTTTTTCTTTTCATTAAAAATTTAAATAAAATTTAAAAGTAATTATTTAATCTAAAGTTAATAAGTAAATCCTATTTATTTATTTATTTCATAAAGCTACTAAAAGTGAAAAAGATTTATATAAAATCTCTTTTAATATAACTCGTTTGATTCTACTCTTTATTTTTCATTTCTCACTGTTAGTCATCAGATGTTTGTAAAATCTTGAAGCATAAAAGTGATTTCACTCTAAACTGAAATATCTCTCTTTTTCTTTGATTATTCACTTCCTATCAAATAAACGTGAACATTAAAACTAATATTATTTAGTTTGATTTTAAAATTTTGGTATATTTTTTAATTAAAAAAATTAATCATTAATGTTATGTAGTTTGATTTACAAAATTCAAGTGCACCCATTTGTTAAATTATTTTTACCAGCTATGGATTTTTGGACACCCTTCGTAAAATTTCTGGCTACAACCCATAACTTTAAAATTGAAGGTAAAAGGTATTTACCATCTGAGCGACCCTCTCATCTGTAGCTCATTTGCACTCATTCAAGCTGGTTTCTCTAGATGTTTATGTTTAGAGTAAAATAAAAATAAAAATGTCCAGTAAAAGCTCCAAACTGAAAAGGAATACATGTATGCAATTGAGAAAAATAAACTTATGGTTGATTTTAAGGCAGAACTAATTTAACTAATTATCATGGACATGATGGACAATTTCTTCAGAAAATGATATGCAAACTAAGTTAATTAACGATCCACATGGTTGTTTCGAGTTCGAGAGCCATAGTGTTGCGAACGTATTTGATGTTTAGCCGTCATTTTGAGCATAAATGGTATCACAAAAAGCAAATGAGCTTCTTGATTGATAGATATGTATCATGATTTTTGAATCATAACAATAAGAATCACGGAATTCAGATATCATATAGAAAATTATGATATTTTTAGTGAAAAAGTTTTTGTTGAGTTTGTGTGATAACAAATGCAAAGGCGGGGTCGCAATTGCGAAGACCCGTGTATTAAAATTAACATTTTCAGGATTTTAGTAATTTTCAATATTTTGGATCTATGGAGTCCATTGAGGCGATTTCGAAGCATATTTCTAGTAAAAATGTTGGGTATGCGATTATACCTTTTTCTATTTGATTGACAAATTGGGATTTTAGCCCTATAATTGAATAATACTTTGATGATTTAGAAATCTATCCGTTGTTCGAATTTGATGATTTTTGAGATTTAGGACGAATAACTATGAGTAAGTTGATTTTATGATGAAATTAGAATTTTGATCTCACGGTCTTAGGATTGACCTTTTGGTTCTGAAATATTAATTTAGAATATGAATATCTACATACTCATATTCTTATATATATATATATATATATTACATTTTTTTTAATCAAATTGGGATCATTTAGATGCATTGGGAAAGTGCATATCCATATTCGTAAGCTTTGAGACTTTGATACTAAGGCAACCTGAGAATTTTTTGACCCTTTTCAAAGTGTTTATGTTGGTAATTGATTAATTAACGGAAAATAAGTAACGAGAAATAATATTTCACAAACTCGTACTTTGTTGATTATATATGACCATGCCTATTTGACCATACTTCCATGCCTTGCTCAGGATATTATGTACAGGCCGTCTCAACAAGTTTGGGGGCCTAAAGCCAAACATTATAAAGAGGCCCTATTTTTTTAGTTGATATAAATATAAATTGAATAATTATAATATACTAGTGTAATCCTACAAATGAGGTCTGGAGAGGCAGGATATATATAGACATTATGAAGTAAGAATGCAAATAATGAAAATTTTCAATGAAAATTATATAATATAAAGTTGGAATAATGAAACATGACTCAAAAATTTTAAAATATGATGATATTAAAATAGTGTAGCGATGAATTTGATAAGTTAATAAATAATATTAAAATAGTGTTGATTAGTTTTAGTGCTTGAAATTTTAATAAGACACCAAAAACAAATTTGATCTTTTTATAAACACACAACAATAGATATCACATAATGTAGAATGTTTGAACGTTGAGAGACTTAAGAATATTCAATAATGAAAGAATAAAAAATAGTGAAAGGAGAATAAAGAAAAGTAAGTATAAGAACACAATACTGTTGGTTCATGATAATCGTCAAAATATAAATGAGCTAGACAACAAAATACATAGCCACATGCGAAACTAGAAAGGATACTACAATTAACTAGCCACATAAGAATCTAGAAAAGACACTACAATCAACTAAACAATATTCAATTTCTCAATTATATTTTCTATACAAAAAAATATTTTCAAATTTATCAATACATGAAATTTTTTTAACAATATATATATATATATATATATATATATACACACATTTTTGAGAGAAAATGGGGGCCCCAAAAAAATTGGGGCCCCAAGCTATTGCTTTAGTGGCCTTATGGTCTAGATGGCCCTGATTATGTATTCTTGAGATTATTTTCTTCCAATGGCATAAGTATGAAAAACTGCTTTGACTTGACAAGGTATTAATAGAGAAATTGCAAGTTGGCATAAAGAAGTTCAGTGGATGGTTGTCATAAATAACAACAAGAATACTATAGTCACAATTGGTGTTACGGGTCGATTTGGATTGGTTATTGGTCAAAATTAAAACCAAACCAACTTAATCGGTTTTAAAATTATCAAAACAAATCAAACCAAACCAAACCAAATATAATATACATTTATCGGTTTGGTGGTTACCGATTTCAGTTTGGTTTGGTTCGGTTATTAACGATACACAAAAATAAAAGAAACAATTTATTCAAAATGAGAAAAAAGTGACAACAATCCATTCAAAACAAAAAATAGTTAGAATGACTAAAATTACTGAACTTTCGAATTTATTAGGAATAAAACTTTAAAATTCACTATTTTGGCCTAGAAGGAAGAGACCGTCACATTTTCAGTCCACAAAGAATTGTCATGGACACTCATTTACATGAAATCAATAAGATAAATCTTTTCACCTAGGACATTTTTGCTTTCAATAAGTAAATTATAATTTTCTTTTTGATGAAAACATATGTAAGATCTTTAAAATTGTTTATAAAAACAACATATTAAGTATGTATATTAATAAAATATATGTATATAATTCATCGGTTCGGTTCGGTTATTTCTTCGCTTTCAATAAGTAAATTATAATTTTCTTTTTGATGAAAACATATGTAAGATCTTTAAAATTGTTTATAAAAACAACATATTAAGTATGTATATTAATAAAATATATGTATATAATTTATCGATTCAGATATATATTCGATTTTTTCAAATAAAACTATAACCAAATCAAATACTATCGATTTTCAAAAAATCTAAAATCAAATCAAATCAAACTCAAATAAAATCGATTTGGTTCAATTTGGATTGATTTTTATCCAACCGTAAACACCCCTAGTCACCATTTACAAAATGATTTAGTTGCACCACAAGATGATAATACAAGAAATTTTTGTTAGAGATGTATGTTACAAAGATTAAATAAAAGGCTACAATAGTTGAATTCTTATCCTTTGTAAAGCAACATGATTGGATAGTAGATTAGTAACAAGGGCATGTCCAATATAGTGAAAGACTAGTTTGTTCTCAAGTAAGCTCTAAATATTTACCCAACAAAGGTTATGACGGAGTGGTAAGTACTATTTTATCCTTAATCAAAAGTTTCGAGTTTGAGTCCCTTGGATACAAAGTTGTCTTTGTTAGAAAGTGATTTATCCCCGGGACTTCCCGGCGCGATTCCGGAAAACA